CCCTATTTTCCCTCACTTACGGACTTTTTTCGGCCCTCCCTAATTGGCCTCATTCCCGGACTTTCTTCAGCCCTCTCCAATTTACCTCACCCCGGACTTTCTTCAGCCCTCCCTAATTTCCCCCATCCCCGGACTTTCTTCAGCCCTCCCTAATTTACCTCACCCCGGACTTTCTACAGCCCTCCCTTTTTTCCATCACTTACGGACTTTCTATAGCCCTCCCTAATTGCCCTCACTTCCGGGCTTTCTTTGGCCCTCCCTAATTGCCCTCACTTACGGACTTTCTTCGGCCCTCCCTAATTGCCCTCACGTACGGACTTTCTTCGGCCCTCCCTAATTGCCCTCACTCCCGGACTTTCTTCAGCCCTCCCTAATTTCCCTCATCCCCGGACCCTTTTCAGCACTCCCTTATATTTTTCTCATCCCCGGGCTTTCTACAGCCCTCCCGATTTTCCCTCACTTACGGACTTTTTTCGGCCCTCCCTAATTGCCCTCACTTCCGGGCTTTCTTCGGCCCTCCCTAATTGCCCTCACTTCCGGGCTTTCTTCAGCCCTCCCCAATTTTCCTCATCCCCGGACTTTCTATATAAAGCCGTCCTTAGTTTCCCTCATCCCCGGACCCTTTTCAGCACTCCCTAATTTTCTTCTCATCCCCGGACTTTCTACAGCCCTCCCTAATTGCCCTCACTTCCGGGCTTTCTTCGGCCCTCCCTAATTGCCCTCACTTCCGGGCTTTCTTCGGCCCTCCCTAATTGCCCTCACTTACGGACTTTCTTCGGCTCTTCCTAATTGCCCTCACTTCCGGGCTTTCTTCAGCTCTCCCTAATTTCCCTCATCCCCGGACTTTCAACAGCCCTCCCTAATTTTTCTCATCATCCCCGGACTTTCAACACTCGTGGCTTATAGTCCCATATTATGAGAGGCTTTATAGTGAGTGAGTGACTTGGGTTTAACGCCGCTTTTAACAATATTCCAGTAATATAACGGCGTGTCAGCTTAATGTGGGAGGAACGCCCAAAGTGATGCAGGTCTCAGACGTTTACCACTTCGGTGAAACCCACGAGCACGTGTATGGTGCTGACAAACCTAGAAACATAGTCGGGGCGAACCGGGATTCGAACCAACAATCATGGGTTTCTGGCGTGCCCAAGGGACGCAACTCTGCACAGCGAATCGCGGCGCCTTAGACGACTGGGCAACCCGTGCCCCCGCAATTGCCTGAAGCATATAAAGTTCGATGCAGATTTAGTTCGGGGACCTGTATTAGGAAAACACTATGGGACAGCACATAGCTCTGTGCAGCGACAAGTCAATATCAAAATCTTTTATAGGAGAGTAGCACAGAGATACGGTTATCGCAGCAACGTATTGTCAAAACGGAATAGTCAACTCCTATGTTTGACAATTTTATCAACAACGGAAGGCATAAATACATTTATCGTTGTTTGTAACTGGTTAGAGTAAGGTTAATTCAGGCTGATTAAGGGCGAAATAAGTTTTGAAAGGTATGCATTTAGATATTTCAGTAGTTTGCTTTAAATATAACTTGATACAAGAAGGTCGCAAAAATACTTAACGTGTATGAGTTACACATTTGGAATTAAATAAGGCACGGTTTTATTAGAAATCGTTTCCTGGTTAAAAATTGCCGCAAGCAGCCAACTCGGATACGATTATGGCGCATTGGTGATGATTTACAAGTAAACAGGTTTACTACCTTATACATGCGTACCTCAAAGCTTTTTTCTTAACTGGTCTTTATTGTACTTTATCGAGGTTTAATACCATTTGCTCCGATAACCTCGGCATCTCTTATAGCAATGACATCTCGGAAAGATATAAGGGCGTAAAAATACAGCTGCTGCATTATTTTTGCAATACAAAAATTATTCTCGCCTTGTCATTTTATAAGGGGTCATTGTTGAAAGTATTTTAGAAATTGTTTTTAGTTTTCTTGTATAACTGAAAGGTGTCAATGCTACATATGGACGACACAAACACATAATTAGAAGATCCTTGAGGATGTTTTAGAGACCCCATTAATGTGACCATACACATTTAGGTCTGCAAACAAATCGAAAATGTAAACATTTGTAAGATCATTGGAACTTATAGTTCACGTGAACTAAAGTGGGTCAGAATGTCAGTTCCAATACGTCTCCTTCAGGGGGTATGTATAGAATAGCATCGTTATTATGTTGACAAATTTGAGCGAAACCAATTTTTGGTCCATCCGTGGGTATCGGTAACGTGGGTCTTGTCGCTTAAGACATGTGATGTTTAGGGTGGAGAGGTGGACGGGCGATATCGAGGTATACAATGCAAAAATTCATATTAGTATTTCATCATACACAGCTCTGAATCCACCAAACAATTAGTTCCTTCTAGAGGCTGATTCTGATTTTGCACCGACCGTTTCTTAACGCCGAAGACCATTTGTATACTCCCAAGTTCCTGACCTTTCAAACACGCACAGTATTTCGCTTAACTACAACAAAACCATACTATGAACACTGATGAAAAGATTAAACAGTGAACAGATTATGTGATTAAAAGATGCTAAGGGACATAACTTACAGAAGCAGTTGGCATGATACACAAGCGATACTGTGGAATCTCACACATAACATCACAATTCACAAATCCCCGAGGCAAGAGTGTCCATTAGCCAATATCAAAGCCTAGTTTCTACCCTTGCCATTGCAAGCAAACTGTTCTTGGCTCGATTGTGGCACCACCCCGTGTAGAACACGATTTATGTCTCTTGTGATGAAAACACGAAATCCAATCAGATCGATTTTCTCATTTCGAATGGCTTTACAAGGATGACTACCATATCAGACAGCATGGTCGATGAGAAATGATTTGAGATTTCATCCCTGACAGACAAAAAAAATGACAGATTATTATTATTTGTACTCAAATATATACAGGTAAATGGGCGAGTAATTGAAAACTTTGAACCACTTTCAGTGCAAATTCAGCGCAAATTCGACAGGCGATGGTTGTGTCCACTGTAGCAACCACGGTTCGGAACCTGAGTCGGATTGGACTATCGAACACGTAACATATCCCTATGATAAATGACCAGTCCCTAAATAATGTTCCAGTACATTCATGGCCCATCCCCCTTAATCTCACCGCGCCGCGATTTCACAGTACTATTTTACTGTTTACATTCGTCAAGATGAGTAAATACTAGCCGAGAAGAGAGCCTATGGTAATTCTGTCTCGAAACACAGTCTTAGCACTTACTGTATCAAGTAGTACATGCCTTATAAAGCCTCTGGGGGCACCGGTTGCCCAGTCGTCTAAGGCGCCGCGATTCGCTGTGCAGAGTTGCGTCCCTTAGGCACTCCCTAAACCTATGATTGTGGGTTCGAATCCCGGTTCGCCCCGATAATGTTTCTAGGTTTGTCAGCACCATACTCGTGCTCTTGGGTTTCACTGAAGTGATGAACGTCTGATACCTGCATCCCTTGGGGCTTTCCTCCCACATTAAGCTGACACGCCGTGATATTACTGGAGTATTGTTAAAAGCGGCGTTAAACCCAAGTCACTCACTCACTATAAAGCCTCTCATAATATGGGACTATAAGCCACGAGTGACGTAAACGAACATGTGTGTTGATGCAGTTAGGCTGTGGAAATGATTAAAGCTTAGTACGTTCTGGTTGTGCACGTCCACGATATACATAAGATTGCAAACCCATTCATGTAGAAGTTAACACTAATTCTTACTATCGCTTAGTGCCCAGGGACCTGTTCCTCAAAGCGATGTTTCGATATGATATCGGATATATATGCTTTTATAAATACTGGTGGAATTTTTTTTAAAGCTTTAGATATATATATATGCCTTCACAATGTCATACAATGGTGTCGTTAATTTGGCTGGTTTTAAATAGATATAAATGTAATCTCAAATGTGTACACAAACTCATCCAGTTTTCCGTGTGTGATAAGTGTTTAAGAAGATATGAAACTGCTCGTTCAATTATCTAACAGTCTTGTGTACGTTCAACCGAGGGCAACATTTCTCGTAAATAGTAAATACGACATACACGTAGCGTACCCAGCACCAAAGCTTGAAACAGTAAGTAGTTTTCTGATGAATTCAAGTAATCCCTGCTAAGACGAAGCTCATCATCTTTCAAACCTAACACACAGTAAACCGATTATCGATAAATTGTAAATTGTTTTTCAAGGCTAACATAGAAAATACTAACAAATAATGATAATGACAAATATGCTTGAACTGCATCATCATATCTTACGTTCTCTTAATATTTCATAAAATTATTTCACTTTTTTCTGGAATATCGTTTACTCACTTTGAAAGGTCAAGATCACTGTCAAAAACTGAAAACATATTCTCATTGAATGAACAAAAGGTCTGCATCTGTTTATGATGGTATGGATGTCACACACTTATTAAACGTTTGTGTCGTTCTCTGGCGTTGACGTTTGGTGGTTGTGTTACTGACTTAATAAGTTAATAAGTAAGTAGTGAACGTTTAATGACCTGAACGGTTAATAACTGGGCCTTTCACATAGAGAATAACTGTGAAATTCAAAACGTCGACGCCAGAGAATAATCAGTCTCGATTATATGTCGAAACAGATTCTATAGGGCGTACAAGTCAAAAGCGGGATGAAAATTATATGAATGGATCACTGAAAATCAGTGATGATTCAAAGTGTTACTGAAAAAGGGTAAGCATGTTCTGCTCTACCGGTAGCACATGCCACTCACACACGTTTCATAAAAAATAAATGTTTGATTATTGCTAACGCTGCATCCAGCAATACTCAATGAAACAATGACAGTCAATGAATCAACTTCAATATCAACCAGGTGGCAATATGGATGGATAACCTTAATTACCTATGTAAGTCTCTAGTGCTTAGCTGTTCCATTGAGCTGTCAAAAAGGGTTTCAATGTTTCTATTTTTAGATGCAAACCCACCAGAGATGGTCACTCTACCAAGGGGGTTCAATGATCCTGTTCATTATCCTTGGATCTATCGGCTCAGGATCAGCACATAGTTGCAGTAGTTTACCAGATAGTATCCATCAAGGAACCTATGTAAACTGCAGTAACAGGAATTTAACAAGCATACCCATTGATCTACCGAGAAACACAACGATTTTGGATCTGAGCTTCAACATTATTTCAAGCCTCTCAAACATATCACTAAATTTGTCGTCTCTAATTAGGTATTTGCAGATTGCATTTAACAGTGTTTCAGGTCTAGATGCTGGGGCATTTTGGCTCATACCTAACATTGAAGAGCTCTATTTGAATGACAATAATCTGTCACTAGATTCGTCTACCTACCCTGAAAATGTTTTTCTGTCTCTACAAAAGCTTCAAAAGCTCCATATCCATAACAACGACATTCGTCCTTGGGGTTCCTATCCAGACAATGCAATAGGAAAACTGAGAAATCTCAAAGAATTGAAAATTGACACATTTGTAGACACTCAATTTGGATCCGGATTCGCCAGACTGCAAAGCCTGAAACATTTGTTACTCGGCTTTGGTAGATGCAAACTGTCACACATATCTAATGATACATTTAAATCTTTTGCTAATGTAACACTTGAAACCGTTGACCTTCGTTACTGTCCGATTGTTTCAATACAGAGGAATGCATTCGCACACTTCAAAAGTATCAAAGATTTGAATCTGTCAAATGCGTTCCCATTAAGTCCAACTGAAGCTGTGTCTGCATTGTATGGTTTAAGACTGAGTAACATGACATCCATCAAGATTAATAACATATTCAACTATTTCAACCTTGTGAATTCCATAACGCTGAGAATAATTGACGATAAAACATGTATCAACCTGAAAGATGTCTGTGTTGAAAGGTTTGAAATGACCAATAGTAGAATTTTATGGATCACTTCAACATTGAACAATGAAGGATCACGATTCGCTTCTTGTATAAAGGTTCTTGATTTGTCTGGAAATGACATATATGGAGACCCGAAATTTCTGTTAATGATATCCTCAATGCCAAACCTTATCTCTCTAGATGTGTCAAGCAGCGATGGCGTCAAAAGAGAATCACAAACTGTAAGAAATATGCAAGTATGTCAAAAAACAAATATCACTCTTGGAATCACACTACCTGAGAAATTGGTAAATTTAAGTTTTAGCCCCAAGAATGTCGGTTGTTTTTATAATCTTATTTTCTATAATGCTTCATCTCTCAGACACCTTGATGTATCATATGCTAGCCTTGACAGATTTAGCAGCAAATTCAAGGGACTAGAAAGTTTGACCTATTTGGACATCTCAGGCAATAATTTTGCAGGATCACCCGTATCAGGTTTCGACAGTGTTCCTCAACTTGAATCTCTAATTATGGCTGATTCTAATCTTGATCAGAGGGGAGCACTATTAAGACTACAGCATAAGTTATTGTCACTAACTCATTTACACACACTAAGCATTAGTTCCAATAACCTTCAATTGTTCGATGTTAAGAATTTGCAAGGGATTGGACTGAGGCAGTTTATTTTGTCAAATAACAGATTTTCGGAGATACCATTTGACTTAACCACAACGCCCCATCTGAGTCACATTGACCTCAGTTTTAACTCACTGACTGTTCTTTCGTCAACTGAAATGAAACATCTGGATGACCTGGCAGCCAGAAACAACATCTCTCTGGATCTTGAGGGTAACCTTCTTGCCTGTGGATGTAAGACTTTAGACTTTATAATGTGGTTGTTCAAATCAAATGTTCAACTACAAGAAAGAAACTACCCATGTGTCAGAGACGACGGCTCAGTGGTAAATACGTCCTACATCTATGAACACCATGATGAAGAATGGCGACGGTGTTCCGGAGGTTTCTGGTTGTCTACGAGCATAATACTTTTAGCCATGTTTCTGTTAGCACTTGGTATAGTGTCAATAATAAACCAAAGAAAGACTCTTCTCGTGAATATCCTTCTTCGGATGTTCGGTTTCAAGACAATGAGGAAGTCCCTGACAAGAAATGATTTCCCCAATGATGCGTACATCGGATATAGCGACAACGACTACCAGTATATTTGTCACACTGTGAGAGATCACCTGGAGAATCAGAATGGGATTAAACTGTTCCTCAAGGACAGAGATACCATCCCTGGAGGAGAAATCGCCGAGGACATCATTGACGGTATAGACTCCAGTTGGAAAATCTTGCTAGCTCTCAGCCAATCATTTCTTGAGGATCAGTAGTGCCGCTTCATTGTCAAACGTGTAGTGTATTCCTCTTCTAGAATGCCAGCAGGGAGCATTGTTCTGGTGTTGTTTGAGGACGTGCGACGAGCGGACATATATCAACACTCGTCGATAAAAGTTTTAAAATGTTGAGGACCTTTCCAAATTTGACGCATAAGTGAGAACAATGTCTGGTGCAATTCCCTAGTTTGACTTGTACCATAATATGTTCCTCTGTTGTGAACAATTGTTTTGCCTTTACATGTGTCTGTGATGAGTGGGCCGGGACATAGTCACCTTTTCGCGGACACCTGGTATCATCACTATTTGATAGTGATTCATAAACAAATGCTCATGACATAGTCATGAAGGGTCTTGTCATTTATATTTCAATGTATATAAAATTGTAAGTAGAATAGTTGTCTTTTCGTTGATTTTGGATGAGACAGTGAATACTTTGATCAAAGAAACAATACATGCAACGACTTCGATGCATTAAAAGATTGAAAGTTTTCATTATAATTATATCAAATGTATATATATGACAAACGCTCAACCCTTTCGCTATTTCCGTGAACATTAACATTAACAGACATTTATTGACACTTTTGAGATGACCCCTACTCATTACAATAGCGTTGGGCCGTTAGGTTGTTTTTCATTCTACTGGTGTGGGAGATTTCCGCCTACATCATTACACTGTCTGGATGACATTGAATACCTCGGTTACAGTAGACTGCGATTCTCAACGTTGGTCCCCAGACACCTGATGTAATTCAATAGGGTGAATATGGCCGATATCTTTTAATATATAGATGAACTTTGTCGTTGTATAAAATGCTAGCATAAACTTCCGGAAATGCACAATTATAGAATCCTACAGACTATAACAATTGTGGACACCAAACATAAGCATATACTTTACGCACTTTATTGCTTTCACATGGATTGGATTTATATGGATTGCTCAGTGTGTTGGAGATATATACTGAACCGCAAAAGAAACATCACAGGCTCCAGCAACGGTACCAGACCACCAACACTAGAGATGACCGACCACGTAGTGGAAGATCTAGGGTCACGCCCCGACGTCAGGATCGTCAGATTGTGCGACAGCTTCTTCAAGGTCGCTTTGTTACTGCTGCGGAAACTGCTCGACGGACCATGGGGACACACCAGCGACACATTAGTGTGGACACCGTGCGTCGACGATTGACGAGCAGACACCTCCACTGTCACAGGCCACACCGAGGATCCATTCTGACACCACGTAATCGCCGGGACTATCTTCAGTGGGCAACACAGCACCAGTATTGGCGCCACCAGCAGTGGAGAAGAGTTCTCTTCTCAGACGAGAGCCGTTACTGTATCTCAACAGCAGGTGGCAGAGAGAGAGAGAGAGAGAGAGAGAGAGAGAGTCTGGCGACGCCGTGGGGAACGTTATTCGGGTGCTTGTGTTGTCGAGAGAGATTCGTGGGGTGGTCCGAGCATCATGGTGTGGGGTGGAATTCGTCTTGCACAGAGGGTCGGCCCTGTGGTCTTCCAGGACATCGGTCCAGGGAGAGGCAATGATGTCACAGCAGCTCGGTACATTGATCAAGTCTTGAGACCACATGCCATACCTCATTTGGCACGTCGCCGCAACCACGAGTTTCTGCATGATAACGCCCGTGCCCACACTGCGAGAGCAACAAGAGACTTCCCCCAGCAGAATGGCATCAAACAATGCAGTGGCCTGCCTCAGTCCCGATTTAAATCCCACTAAGCACCTGTGGGACGAGATTCAAAGACGGCTGAATGACGTCCGACCAACTGCAGCTGAACTGCGCCAGGCGTTCCTCAGAGTGTGGGCTCAAGTGCCTATGGTCTTCATCAAACGCCTCATCCATTCCATGTATCGACGTTGCACGGCAGTCACCAATGCACATGGCGGACACTCGAGATACTGACTTGTGATGCCATTTGCTCAGAGACGAGTGATGTGTTTCACTTTAAGAACATTTGACACTTTAATTTCAACCTTGATGATCAGTTTTGCTATGTTTCATCTTTTTAATATGCCCCAAAGTATGTTTACAGTGTTTGGACAAATAAGGTTTCTCATATATCTAGCCATGGTGACGTTTCCTTTGCGGTTCAGTATATTTGCTTTTCTGAAACTGTATAAAGCAGTTGTAATTGATATGTATCATCAATCTTGGAATAGTATCATAGAACGTAGCTCAAGATACTAGAGTATAAGGAGTTTTAAAGCTTAACCGAAGTTTCTCACCCTTTTACGTTTGTATCCTCTCTGTAATCTAGGGATAAAAAATGAATATAATTTAATTATAAAATGTTATACCTAGTGGGGCCATACGACACCTCTATCTACCAATAAGGTATTGTAAAAATCCGAAAATGTATAAATTTGGAACGCTTCTGACTTTGAACAATGTCAGGATACTGAGAAACGTATGAACATATTTATGTCACAGTTATGAAATGAGCCAAAGCTTTTCAAATACTGGAATAGTATGAAGTAAGTTATGTGTGAGTCCATGTACCACTGTAATGCAATGTATATATGCACTTTCTCTGTATATGGATCGTTGAGATTCATACAAATAAAGCCTCGACTTGCTACCAATACTTAAACTGCGTTGTTCCGTTGTTAGTCGTGACACCTGTTTCAGCTTGGGATGAAAACATAAACGTCTGGCTTTTTCCTTCGTGGTGGGGCATAGGGGATTTATTCTCCCTCTCAGAAATCCACGTGCAGTGTTCTTCGTGGCGGGAAAAAGAATATTTTCTCCCGCTCAGAAATTGGATATATAGTATTTTATCAAGCTCACGTGAACACGTAAGATCTCACCATTCTGACATAGAGGTAAGATAACTGTGTCTATACCCTCAATACCATTGGACACCTCTTCAACCATCCTTCCGTTGTGAAATACGTTGACTGGACACCAGTTGCTACCAAAGCCAATTCCTTGTTCATACCTCAGGTTAACGGCAGGGTGAGGGGAGGTGAAAAGGAGTCTAATGTGGCGTGTACATAGCGACGTGCATGCATGCATGCATGCGTGTGTGTATGTGTGTGTGTGTGTGTGTGTGTGTGTGTGTGTGTGCTACTCCGGTTATTCCGGTTCTACAGTTCTAGAACACTGAAATACCAAGTCAAGTTTAACATGAATACCCCACTCAGACACAGTATACTGACTCCACGTAAGTCAAGGGGAACCCCTACTTTCAGACAAGTTACAATTGACAAAAAAACATTTCTGCAATAATCTGACTTTAAAAGCTCCCAATCTCAAAATCATTTTTTTTTTACTCCGATACAATACCTCTCAGAATCAAGATAGGACGACACCTCCAAATATCGTATAGGACGTATAGGAGAAGAAGATCTGATTTTAATGAGATTGAAAAGCTCCTAGTTACTGTTATGTTGTAATCATTTCCCATTTTTGACAAATTATTGGACACAGGTTGTTTTCCAATCTTCATTGCATTATTTAAACACTTAGATTTGAAGGTTACTTTTTTAACGTTTAACATTTGCATCTGTACAAATCGGCATATGAACTTATATATCATTTGTCCTACATGTTACTATCCTACTTGTATCAGTGGAAGCTATCTTTGATTAGGGATAGTGCTACTGTAAACCCTACGAGAGCAGAGGCGTGGTCTGTCTGACATATATAGCAAGTCCAATAGAGAAACACCTAAACCCCATAAATCTTTTATACTGTACTGAACCTCCGCTTGAACATTCTTTCGTTTTCAATACTGCTGCACTGTATGCATATATAGTACATACCATGGCGTCAAGAATTTGACGGAGTCCTGCATGGTGTAGATTGCTAAATAATGATAGCAATTAAAAGAATGGATCACTGAAAATCACGATGACACCAGGTGTTCGCAGGATCAGGGTTAGCATATCCTTCTCTACCGGTAGCACCCGCCGCACACAACTTTCATTAAAAAAGGTCCACTGAGTAAGAAGGTGTGAACAATCAACGTGAACATAGCATGGGATGACAAACTTCATGATGACAAACGAAGTGTCATATTCAGTATCATGGCTCGCCTCCTGTAGCCTCAAACTTTGAGGGTGGTTGGGTAGCCTAGTGGTTAAAGCGTTCGCTCGTCACGCTGATGACCCGGGTTCGATTCCCGACATGGGTACAATGTGTGAAGCCCATTTCTGGTGTGCCGCCGTGATATTGCTGGAATATTGCTAAAAGCGGAGTAAAACCATACTCACTCACTCACACTTTGAAAGTAACAAAACAATACCTCCATCAGCTGATTTTACTAACACTTCAGGAATAGATTGTAATTGAGATGCCGAAATAGGTAAATATCAATATTGTTATAACCATCACAGACACCAAAGAACCTTTCTCCACATGCAAATAACTCATCAGTTCGTTTTAAAAAGATTTAGTCACACATATAACATTTAACATTATTTTGAGGTCATTCTTACTTTTGGCGTGTAAAACAACATCGATAGCTTGTGCTAAAATACTCTCAACCTAATTGCCGTTTTGCAGCATTGATCATATATGGTTTGTTCTGTTCTGATTGTTTGCTGTTTAACGTCGCACTCAATCAATATTCCAGTTAAATGTAGGCGGTTTGTACATAATCCAATCTGGACCAGACTAACAAGTGATTGATATTATGAACACCGCCGGGTACAATGACACATAATCAATCAAGTCACCGAGCTTGACCACCCGATCCATTCAATCGCCACTTCCGATAAGCTCAGGCTGTTGTAGACCAGATCTAACCCGGATTCCAACTCGGGCGATGATCTCTCACGGTTTTCATAGATCAGAGCTAAAATATTAAAACAATGTCAGGGACCCTTGAAGATTCCGGGGTAGAATAGGCCTTCAGCAACCCATACTTGCCGTAAAAAGCGACTATGCTTGTCGTAAAAGGCGACTAACGGGATCGGGTGGTCAGGCTCGCTGACTTGGTTGATACATGTCATCGATCCAAATAGCGTGGATCGATGCTCATGATGTCAATCACTGGATTGTCTGGTCCAGATTCGATTATTTTACAGATCGCCGTCATAAAGCTGGAATATTGCTGAGTGCGGCGTTAAACAACAAACAAACAAACTAAACAATGGCAGGCCTTTGAAAGGCAGTTGGACGCTGGTGCCTTCTAGAGAAAGATGAAATGATATACCCCTGGAAATGAATTAATCGGTAATGACATGGGCATGTGTCTCATTCAATTGTAAACTTGACTTGACAGGGTAATCTGAACATGACCTCGGTATCAGCATGACATCCTGGAGACGGCAGTTATCCCCCACTTTCACAATCATGCGTTAGCCACTAGATGCATTGGTCTTCATGGATGATGATGCTAGTTCTTACAGATCACGTGCTGTTCTGGAATGCTTACAGAATGCCAGCGAGACACTTACTAAGAGTGAGTGAGTAGGGTTTAACGCCGCTTTTAACAGTATTCCAGTTATATCACGGCGTGTCAGCTTAATGTGGGAGGAAAGCCCGAAGTGATGCAGGTCTCAGACGTTTACCACTTCGGTGAAACCCACGAGCACGGGTATGGTGCTGACAAACCTAGAAACATAATCGGGGCGAACCGGGATTCGAACCCACAATCATAGGTTTCTGGCGTGCCCAAGGGACGCAACTCTGCACAGCGAATCGCGGCGCCTTATACGACTGGGCCACCCGTGCCCCCCACTTACTAAGAGGTCCAGGGGCCGTATTCATAATGATTCTCAGAATTGTCTTAATAATACTCTTAGCGGAGAGTTACACTAAGCAGTAAAGTCATAATAGCTCTGAGAGTTACCCTTAGCCAAGGGCAAAGCAAAACTCGGAGAATAACTGTCAGAATGAATTTCCACCGTTTCTAAGGTAAGTCCTGTGCTAATTATAGACATATTAGTACTCTGACCTTTGAGGTTACATGACATAACATATCATGTGATGTGTCATGTTACTCATGAACATGTTAGCAAGAACATGTTCAGAAATTGAGTGTCTAGCATTAATATTAACTTATGATGTTAACTTTGACTAGGTGACAAATTAGTTATTCACCCAAATGTATTTGCCATGAATCCTTTTAGTTTTGCGTTATTGAGTCTACCTGAACCTAACGCAATGTAGAAAATATCTACTAAAATATGGAACACTTTTGAAATGATTGAGGTTGTGAAAAGGTTGTTCAAGGGCTTGACAGCAAATATGAAAGCAAAAGGCTGTTTCAAGATCACACAGGTTTCATTTTCAAATGCCTTTAAATCCTTGCTGAAATGGTTTTTTTATGACAAACAGGTTCTTAATTTATTGTAGACCTCTTTTCCTAATGTGTCTGTTTTGACAAATGAATCACATTTTCAAAAGATGCTTTTATAAAATAAGATGTGGTAATGTACAGAAGCGTAGTAGGGCCACGGTGAAATTCTTTTTTGTCTAAGTATCTCCTACGTAGGACTTATTATCTCCCACGTAGGACTTACACTCTTACGTAGGACTTACTATGGCCTAGAATCACAATCTCCTACGTACGACTTAGTATCTCCTACGTAGGACTTCCTATCTCCTACGTAGGAGATACTAAGTCCTACGTAGGAAATATTTATTCTAGTCCATAGTAAGTCCTACGTAAGAGTGTAAGTCATACGTGGGAGATAGTAAGTCCTACGTAGGAGATACTAAGTCCTACGTAGGAGATAGTAAGTTCTACGTAGGAGATAGTAAGTCCTACGTAGGAGATACTAAGTCCTACGTAGGAGATATTTATTCTAGTCCATACTAAGTCCTACGTAGGAGATAGTAATTCTAGGCCATACTAAGTCCTACGTAGGAGATAGTAAGTCCTACGTAGGAAAAAGTGATTCTAAGCCATACTTAGTCCTACGTAAGATATAATAAGTCCTACGTAGGAGATAGTAAGTCCTACGTAGGAGATAGTAAGTCCTACGTAGGAGATAGTAAGTCCTACGTAGGAGATACTAAGTCGTACGTAGGAGAAAGTGATTCTAGGCCATAGTAAGTCCTACGTAAGAGTGTAAGTCCTACGTGGGAGATAGTAAGTCCTACGTAGGAGATACTAAAACATACGTAGGAGATAGTAAGTTCTACGTAGGAGATAGTAAGTCCTACGTAGGAGATACTAAGTCCTACGTATAAGATAATAAGTCCTACGTCGGAGATACTTAGACAAAAAAAATCACCGTGGCCCTACTACGCTTCCGTAGTAATGGCAGTGTTAACATGATAGGTTTACTATTGTCTAGGTTCATGAAATTATAAATAAGGCAACCGTGCTTACTCGCAGATAGCATTGAATTCGTGTAATCCCGAGAGGAAAACACCCGGATAAATAGACTAATGGTAAAACCCCAACACTACCCAAACAAATTCCTATCAGTGACATTGTGTTGAACATAATGGAATAAATACATTCTACGAAACAGATTTATTTTACATGGGTTTGAGTGTCATTGTTTATTCCAAAATTCCCAAAGCACATTCATCCATTAGTGACATTGTACATAGATCTTTAGTATGTGCTGCTGTCCCAAGGCTGTCTTATACAAAGCTATATGGCAGTTTTATGTAGATTAGTGAATCACTGTGATTACAATTCTCCTGATTGGTTCAAAACTGGAGTGTTTACCGTCAACCGTCTGGTTGCTATTATCATCCATTATGTATGAGTATGATTTATTGTGCTTGCATTACAGTGCCCGCATCTGTATGTGGCTACGTTAACTCAACACGTAGTGTCTTAGGGATGATCATAGAAGGGCAGTGGTGACCGGCAATTCGGAATTCCACAACAATATCATTTAGGTGACGAATACGACTCCCTGAAGACTTCCACATAATTATATATATTACTATAAAACGTTAACGCAAGAGAACAACCGATTCCGACCATCCGCTGAAACAGATTCCACCTGTAAGTACATATAGTTGAATGTATTAACATAAGTTATTAGAAAAGATTTAAAGAATGTACACAAAATGTCGTTGTAACGTTGGGCACTTATTTTCAAATATATTGTGTTAAGTAAATGATTGACTTGTTGTACACGATTGGTACTAGGGCATATCCTGATCAACATAATTCCTGAATACCTATGCATGTAGGCCTTTATTACAACCAGAAATAATGTTTAGATATCACGACGCTGTAGCGTTAGTCCGTTGTGGGAGTTTACATTTAGAACGTGGGTGATATTTTTTGTACATACTGCAATGTTGGTGAAATTGATCAATAACACTTTTTGTTTATATGTACAGAAATAATTTGAAATGAAAATTAATAAAAAAGGAAATACTATAATTTCGAATCGAGAGAAAATGTGTATGCTGTGTGCTTAATTTAATCTAACATTACAGCTAAATTATACTGCAGAGAACCCTTCAAAGACCTTTCATGTCAAACTCAAAACGTCATCTATGGCATTGACTGTACCCGTTGGTTGCGTTATCTTCGAGCGACACAACAACAATTATCGACAACATAGATCTGACATTAACAGAAATGTTTTCAGTTGACTCCACCAACATTTATATTCTGAATATCACTCCATCCTTTGCATGCAAGTTAGTATATGAAGATAGTATCTCAATCATCTAATAGCCTTGGATGACGGATGACCAGATAATATAATTGGATCCGACTGTGTACAGCAATTGCACACGGATATAATGATGAAATAAAAGGCAGTCTTTCAACATAAACGCGACAGAAAGCATTTTCATATTCATAAGAAATCTCCATTGTCCCCTGTACGATTCCCACAATATCATAAGCATATGTTTATGAATCACTATGGTGTTCGCGAAAAGGTGAGCGTACCCTGCTCTATCGGTGTCAAACATATGCAAGTCAGTTCGCCTTGAAAATATCCAACAGAGCAGCATATGGTACCAATCAAAACAGGGAATTTCACTGGGCATAATGTTGGTCACTGATAAGTCAATTTTGGAAATGTCCTCCATATTTCTGAAATATTTTTTTAAGCTCCAATGAGACCATGAATTGTTTAACCCTGATGAAACAACATGCTCGATTGTTCGCTAAATGTTATAAAATGTAGACACTAAAAGGCTGGAGCTTCTGGTTGGTTGGTTGGTTGGTTGGTTGGTTGGTTTATTGTTTAACGCCGCACTCAGCAATATTCCAGCTATATGACGGCGGTCTGTAAATAATCGCGTGATTAATATCATGAGCATCGTTCCACGCAATTGGGACCGATGACATGTATAAACCAAGTCAGCGAGCCTGACCACTCGATCCCGTTAGTCGCCTTTTACGGCAAGCATTGGTTGCTGAAGACCTATTCTACCCCGGAATCTTCACGGGTCTGGAGCTTATGGAATACCTCCCAACTTTTGAGGTACAATCTAGCATGCTCTTTCTACGATGATTTCAAAGAGCGTCATATGACTGATGTGGCGTCCTAACGCTGCCGTTACCTCTTCCGTTGTTGTGGCGAACCTGTTGCGCAAATGCAAACTGTGCAAGTACCAGTTATCCTGTTATCCAGCTATCGTCTCGCGTGGTCTGCCTGATCGTGCCCTGACCTGTGCAATGCCAGTCTGTCTCTGATGTTTAAACAGACTGACGATGGTTGCACGTGTACAGTTGAAATTCCTTTTGCAATCTTGGCGTGGATGTCCCTATTTTCATTATTCATTCATACAACGAACGGGTCGTGTTTTGCACTTAAAGTTTGCAGTGTTTCGGCGACTGTTTTCATCCTGGTAAGCTTTTGACAAAAGGAAGCGTTTATAATTCTTTGGTCAAATCGAAGTTTCTAGTGTATACTCGTATTTTCTTACCCCGGCAATTTAGTTTGAATCGTACAATGGTATTTTTGATGATTATGGAAGTTCTTTGTCGCTTTTATTTATAAGAAAAAAAACAGTTAAGAAAATTTGCTACTGTCAAAAGATCTCTCTATTTGAATATTTGATTATATTAATTACAGAAACATTACCATGTGTTATACTAAATACATTTTTGATGAAACAATGTTTAGTAAAGTTTGACAAATAATAAGAAATGTCTTGTCTATTTTCAATTGTACCGAAATTTAAAATCAAGAAATATTCTTAAATGACATGGGAACAAATATTGCTTTATTATTATGACAACACAATATAGGATTAATCAATTTATTTTCCACTGATTACAGAATCTAATTCATTTCTGCAAATGGAGGTCCTGACGTAGAAATCAATAATAAATACTATTAGTTAAATGTCAGTTACATCCCAAAGCCATACTGGGAGCACGGGTGGCCCAGTCGTCTAAGGCGCCGCAATTCACTGTGCAGAGTTGCGTCCCTTGGGCACGCTCTAAACCTATAATTGGGTGTTCGAATCCCGGTTCGCCCCGATAATGTTTCTAGGTTTGTCAGCACCATACCCGTGCTCGTGGGTTTCACCAAGTGGTAAACGCCTGAGACCTGCATCACTTCGGGCTTTCCTCCCACAATAAGCTGACACGCCGTGATATAACTGGAATATTGTTAAAAGCGGCGTTAAACCCAACACACTCACTCACTCACACTCACCAAAGCCATACTACCGAAATTAAAGCAAAGTAAATGTCAGATAGGTACTTTTGTGTGTGTGTTACAGGGAGACGGCTACATCACTTGAAGATGAAGGAGGAGAGTAAAGCTTCATTTGATGTTGCTTTGTCTGCATTAGGTGGCCAATTCGGCTGTTCCATTCAAGGGCCATTCGAAGCAATAGACGAGGCTGAAACCTTGAAGGTATGTGTAAGATTTACACCTGTATCTCATCAGGAATAATATTTTTTAGAACCTATTAAAGGCTCGTTGTAAGATTGATCAATGTGCCTGACCTCTCCATGTATGTTTGTCAAAGCGAAGAAAATACATACCACACGCTAACCAGATGTTCTTCTGACATTAGGTACGGGCACGGGTGGCCCAGCTGTCGGAAGCGCCGTAATTCCTAATTATAGTCGGATGGAATCCCAGATTCGCCCAAAATGCTTCTAGGCTTGTAGGCACCAAACCCGTTCTTGTTGGGTTCATCAAAGCGGTAAAACGTCGAAGACATGTATTATCTTTGGCTTTACCAATACAACATGGTGACACACTGATTATAACCGAAATACCTTTTAAAGCAGCGTACAAAAGTCAACTCACTCACCGGCGCATTTCTGAATTTCTATCAGAACGATTCTGCGATATTATATCCTGCATAATTGTACTCTGTAGTTGTCTTGTGTTTTGTCTATGGCGTTTTGTGTTCATTTCTCTTTGTTAAAACCAATTTGTTTTTCATTTGAAACATTGGCATTTTCGAAAATTATGGAAAAGTGTAATAAATTGAACAACCTCGCAGTTTTCTTTGTCCTTTACGACAAGGTGGTGGGCCAACCTAGTGGTTAGGGGTTCACTCGTCACGTTGAAGGCCCAGATTTAATCACACTGAAAATTCCATACTGGACCACTTCTAGTCATTGCCAGCAATGGCAGGGCCACATATCGTATGTTTAAACAACCCACGCTACCCTTCAGATGCACAATTAACATTTGAAACTGATATATTTTTGAAAAGGCAGTTTTCGATCCCCTCATAATGAACATAATTCCTGTATCCTACGTTGCTGCTACGTGGTCATTTCATTTTGTTCTGTACAATTTTGTTGAAAGAAGGAATACCTCTTCGTATTTGCTAACCCTAAGCTACCACCAAGCTACCATCAAGAAGTCATAACATCTGACGTTATTCATCACACAAGTCTAAAATGAATACTTTAATTTGTCTGCAACGCTCGGGGCGACTACGGGCTACTGGCCTGCTGGAAACTGGCAGAAGTCGACGTGCTGTGACCAATAAGCTTAATGTTTCACAGTCAATGACTAGCAGACTGTGTAACAGGTACGACCAAACCTAAAATGTTGACGATCGACCCCGTTCAGGGCCTTTCAGTTGAACGACAAGAGTACAGGATCGATTGATCCAAAACCCTGCTCCAGGAAAATTGAGCTCAAACGGCAATTCACATTGCTGCAAAAAAAAAAGGCTACTGTAGTGCGAGTTACTTGTCAGGCGATTAAAACTCGTCTACTTGCAGCTCATCTCCATGCTCGACGTCCAGGTGTTGTACCGACCCTTACAAATCATCAAACTGCCAGCAGACTTGACGGTCCACACAACGTCGACACTGGGGTAATCGTCGCCGGTCACGTGTCATGTTTTCAGACGAGTTCCGATCCACTTTGCAACTCCTTGACAGGCGTGGTCGTGTCTGGCGACGTCAAAATGAACGTCAATCGAACGTCAACAGGAGACCTCGGGACTTATTGGGCGGTGGATCGGCTATGGTGTGGGGCGGCATCACTATAACTGACCGAACCCCATTCCATGCTGTTCAAGGAGGAGTCACTGAACAGTGCTATCGGGACAACATACCGACATCCTTTGTTGCCTCGTTTGCAAGGCGTGTGGGTTGACGTTTTGTCTTTCAGGACGGCAACGCCCGTGCTCACCGTGCACGAATCGTCAATGCTCACCTTCAGCAGCACAACATCCATAGAATGCCATTCCCAGCAATGAGCCCTGACTGTTTCCCCATTGAACACGTTTGGGACATGATAGGGTGACGTGTGCGTGTACGTTCATGCTGGTTGAACTTGGCCAGGTGCGTGAAGGAATTTTTGGCACATCGTGGCGGTATTACGCACTACTAATGAAAATAACCCCGTCAACTTTGAAATTGCCATCTTACCCCTATCATCCTTCGGATTGTTGGCAGTCATAACATATTCTGCCATACTTCACTTCCGGTTGTAATGTGTTCTCAGTTCGTTCCACGTTTAACGACTTACACCCTGTTAGAGAGAAAAGAATTATTCCATACACACCATCCATTCACACCACACACGCACACGCACACACACACACTACACCACACCACACATCAACACACAGCACACACATCACACATACACAAACACACCAACACGCACGCACGCACGCACGCACGCACGCACGCACGCGCGCACATACAGACCACATGCAAGCGCATACGCACTTCATACACACAAACCACACACGCACACCACACACACACACACACGCACGCACGCACGCAAGCACGCACGCACACACACACACACAACAAACAATATTGTGCCTACTGATTTCAACTTCTCTATTCATTCAATGCGGCGTCATGGTATTGATGCTAGTACTGTATGCATCAGGACCGAAACGCCGCATTAAACCACAAAGAGGTTGAAGTCCTCCATGTCTTCATATTGATACTAGACCCGTGAAGATCCGGAGTAGAATAGGTCTTCAGCAACCCTTGCTTGTAGTAAAAGGCGACTATGCTTGTCGTAAGAGGCGACTAACGGGATCGGGTGGTCAGACTCGCTGACTTGGTTGATGCATGTCATCGTATCCCAATTGCGCGGATCGATGCTCATGATATTAATCACTGGATTGTCTGGTCCAGACTCGATTATTTACAGACCGCCGTCATCGAGGTGAAAGATCGCTGAGTACGTCGTTAAACAACAAACAAACAAACATCATATTGATACTACAGCTTTCATAATGCCACTTACCGACACAAATATATCTCTGCAACTGTTCATGTTCACAGAACCCAGATGAAAGTACAGTCACCCCTCCACCAGATGGAGGCAAAGGTTGGTTTATCTTATTGGCGGCCTGTCTTCTACTCTCCGCAAGATCCATATATATTATACTTCAGCCAAACTCATTATCAGTTGCGCAAAGTCCCGAAACAACCACACCAGCAGAAAAGACATCGAGTGTCAACGGGATCTCAGGTCTGCAGTCTACAACGGCCTTTCCCCATGGATCTCCAGCTCGGGGGGCAGGAGGTAAATATAAGCGACGAATCAGTTATCACAAGAAATCCCTCGTTGTGCGATGTGGATTATTTCATAAGCACGGAACGCTCCCAAATAGTGATGATAACAGGTGTTCGAGAAAGTCTATCCTGCCCTAACGGTGACACCCGTCCCAAACACAAGCAAGCGCAAGTCAGTTGTTCACCGGAAACAACACACGTGAACATATGGTAAAAGTCAAAATAGGGAATTGCATAATTTTTGTCACAGATGCGTCAAATTTGGAAATGTCCTCTATATGTCTACCATAAAACAGTTCTTTAATACTAGTATCAGATGTATTCTCATGAATAATATCATTAATGTAACATATCTTAACTTTTGAATAACACTTTCGTAGTGAAGTACAACTTCGAGTATTTGTTGGGGTGGAATCCCATTTGGACACTCTCAGCCTAAGGCACCTAATCGCCAGCACACAGTCAGCGGTCAAACCCACTCAGCCACAAAAATGGAAGTCCAAAAACTGATAAATGTAAATTGTCACGGCTCGCATAGCCGAATGCTATGAACAGTCTAGTATAGAAAGTGGTCAAATGTAACATATTATATATTTTGGATTACACTTTCTTAGCTAATATCGTTAATTATGGCTGCTTGGATGTAAGAATTAATTTCTTGTTGACCTATTTATCTATAAATCCGAATATGAATATTTCAAAGTAGTTTTCTGCTTAGTTTTTATCCTGAGGCAGTCCTATGTGATTTAATTTTATAAGATGGTAAGCAGAGAAATAAAATAACATCATCTACCTTGAAACGACACCTCTCTGCGTTAAGATACAGATCGTGTGAATATATACGGAAATATAACCCATTATTAATTAGTTGCCGTGAATGTATATGTGCAATGTCAACAAGTTATGTGTCCAATTAATGTGAAATGCCAAGGTCAATATCAAGGCCATTCATGGTACAGTAAACTACGGTTATAACGAACTCAAAGGGACCACTAACTTTAGTTTGTTATAACCGTAGTTCGTTTTAAGCATATATTCAGCATAACTAAAACAAAAGTCGGGACAAAAAAATCAGTTCGTTATATCCGTCAGTTCGTTATAAGCGTGTTCGTTATAAACGTACTTTACTCTAAGTGGAAAACGTTATAAGAGTGTATGAAGAACGCGTGACTTTGTTATTTAAGTTAGCTTGACACACTGTTTTGGTTGAAGTCATTCGTGCATTGCATCTGGAATGTGACACGAACAATCATTTGATTACATACTAATATATTTAAAAGTGACTTTGGTATCAGTGAAGAAAGGATTCCTGTATGATTCTGAGTGAGTGAGTGAGTTGGGTGTAACGCCGCTTTGAACAGTTTTCCAGTAAACAGTTATATCGCGGCGTGTCAGCTTCATGTGGAAGGAAAGCCCAAAGTGATTCAGCTCTCAGACGTTTAACAATTTGGTGAAACCCACGAGCACGGGTATGGTGCTGACAAACCCAGTAACATTCGGGGCGAATCGGGATTCGAACTGTATGATTCTGAATTTCTTTCATTCTTACAATGCCTATTTCACTCGATTTTGTAGTTATCTTTATCAAGCCAATGGTCATTTTATTGGCAGGCACATGTTTGATAAAGTAAATATTAACCAAAAGTAGACGACTGAAAGTTGTCAGTAAGATATATTGTGCCTGATCTTGAAGCGAGGTGAGGTGAAATCGGGTTTAACGTCGCGTCCAAGATTATTGCACTTATATAGCGACGTGCATGTACGTGTGTGTGTTTGTGTGGCTGCTTGTACTTGTCCGGACTGATGCCGATTTATAGTGCTAGCACACTGAGATACCATGCCGCAGTTTAACATGAATACCCCACTCAGACACAGTAAACTGACTCCGAGCCGACCAGTCCTTGTTTTAGCCCCTTAATGCCGAGCGCCATACAGGGTAACAACAAGTACCATCTTTTAACGTCCTTTGGTATGACGCGGCCGGGGATCTGATTTGGAAGTATCCAAATGTCTCCTCTTTCAGTGCCACCATCTGCAGGACAGCCACAAGGCGTGGGACTACTAGACAATGTCGAGAAGGTACTGATGGTGACAGAACTGATTCAGTTAATGGACAAGTTCAACGCTGGAGATCACACTGTTGTTCCTAACATTACCTCGATCCTGTTTGCACTGAACAAAACCAGCGAGGCAGAACAGTTTCTCGAGGCATTCAGGAAACTCCAGGTCCAGACCAGCCCTGTTGTAACCACTGTCATTGCCACGAACAACGTCTTCTCATCAGTATTTGGTAACTATGGAAGAAACACGTATTACTGTAACTTACTACTATGAACTTTAGTACTCAATAAGCAGGTGCTTGGTCTCGGAAACCGGTATTCCGAACCTCTCTGTACTGGATCTCTCTGTACTTTCCAGTTTTCACGGTTTTAAATTCGCATGAGTACATATGCTATTGAAATTCAACACACCCAAATCTGTAGCAATATCCCGATGGAGGGAGCTAACGAATTAGCGTCAAAAAGTGTTCAAAAATATAATATTTGTGACCAACCTGAGATAAAGGATCTTATGGGTGAAAAATCACTTTTTGTCTTATTATTTCATTTTAAAAATACAGCGTCTTCGGAACGCAAAAATACATTTCAATTTTCAATTTATATTTATTACATAGATACATGGCATCAAACATTTGGACTATTTTCCTGCAAAAACCCATTAATAACTTAAATGTTTATGTAATAATTGCAGTTTTTAGATTTAATGTCTGATTAACTATGTATGCTGAAATGTTTTTGAATTATGGTTTTATAACATTTAATTTACGAACTAACGAGAGAAAAATAAGATGGTTTTTAACAGTACGCCCTCATGCCAATTTAGTTGACGTCCCTCTTTATGACGTCAGAGCGCAGTCGTTTCCCTTTTCTCCTGGTGGGTCACATATATAAAGAGTGAGTGAGTGAGTTGGGTTTAACGCCGCTTTTAACATTATTCCAGTTATATCGCGGCGTGTCAGCTTAATGTGGGAGGAAAGCCCGAAGTGATGCAGGTCTTAGACGTTTACCACTTCGATGAAACCCACGAGCACGGGTATGGTGCTGACAAACCTAGAAACATAATCGGGGTGAACCGGGATTCGAACCCACAATCATAGGTTTATGGCGTGTCAAGGGGACGCAACTCTGCACAGCGAATCGCGGCGCCTTAGACGACTGGGCCACCCGTGCCCCCACATATATATATAAAGAAGATATTGATGACAATTTCCTTACATATGCGTCACACTAGGATTTGTAAGATTTATTGCAAATTAAACATCTTAACGAATACACGGGGAACTGTTAACGTTACGGCTCTCAAACAATGCATCGGATATGTCACGCCTGCTTTTAATTAAGATGGTCGCAGTAATTGGAATGCTGAAAATGAACGGCAAATATGTCACTGTAAAGAATAAAGATACTTCCCTCTTCCGAAAGATTTATGTGGTGTAAGAAGTTTTTTTTGTCATTTACTCGATCCGATCAACGGTGTTTCGGAAAAATAATCAGGCAGTATTATAGGAGCCAAAGAGAAAGCAATGGCCCATGTGATAAATATACTACTCAAAACAAGTTAAGGATCACACGATTCTTTCATATTGGTAATGTTAATCTGTCATGGCACGAGAGATTAACTATTGTAATATGAAATAATCAGGTGATCCTTAACTTCTTTTGAGTAGTATATAAGGTTTTACCTGATGAAAGCACGACCATCACACTTCTTAATAGACATTTTCTCCTATAGGTGTGTTCAGCAGTACACTGGTAATGCTATTTGGTTATCGTTGCACGGCGGTGGCGGGAAGTCTAGTCATTGGATGTGGGATATTGGGTACATACTTCTGTGATCACTCGAACATCGCTCTAGTTGCGTTCCTGTATGGTGTTCTGACAGGTATGTTTCCTTACACTATCTGCTGAAAACAGTAGTCTTGTCTATGGACATATTTAATACTTCACGGATTTGTATATATATTACCTCAAGCAACCCGGAAAACCACAAGTGTCACAGACACTTTGTTTCAAATATAAGGCAACAGTAGGGTTCGCACAAAATGCATAGATGGAATAGGGTTAAGTTGACTTTGGTCAGTTATATGCGGTCGCATTTCACTGCATGACATAAGACCCGTGAAGATACGGGGTTGAATAGATCTTCAGCAACCCATGCTTGCCGTAAAAGGCGACTATGCTTGTCATAAGAGGCGACTAACGGGGTCGGGTGACTTGGTTGATGCATGTCATCGTATCCCAATTGCGTGGATCGATGCTCAAGATATTATTCACTGGATTGTCTGGTCCACACTCGATTATTTACAGACCGCCGTCATATAGCTGGAATATTGCCGAGTGCGGCTTTAAACAACAAACCAACCAACCAACTTGACAAACTTTTGATTCGCGCCACTATTACAACACATATGTAGTGTAGTCACGGGTGTTGGAAGCCGTCAGTATTGCTGAATGCGGCGTTTAACAACACACAATGAGGGACGCAGGGCATACAACCCCGTGAAGTATTGACAATGATATTTAATGAACCAGTCGTGTATTTAGCACTGGACCTTTTTAAAAAAATTTAGTCATTTTCCCTATTTGTAACCAGTGGATACACCAGAATGAACATCAAGTACAGTCCCCTCCATTATAACCATAATGTTGTCATACGATTGACTCTCTAACTCTTCGTAAAATCGCAAAAATACATATTTCTGACCTTGATAAGTTGTAATACCAATTGAGGCGTCTGATTTGTTTGTGTGTTGTTTAACGCCGCACTCAGCAATATTCCAGCTATAAAAGAGTCTGGACCAGACAATCCACTGATTGACATCATGAGCATCGGCCCACGCAATTGGGATACGATGACATGTATTAACAAAGTCAGCGAGCCTGATCACCCACTCCCGTTAGTCTCCTCTTACGACAAGCATAGTCGCCTCTTATTGCAAGAATGGGCTGCTGAAGACCTTTTCAAACCTGGATCTGTGGCGTCTGAGACAATATGGATACGATTGCAATCTTTCAGCTAGAGGCATTTGGAGCGGCTCGATTGGGTTAAAGATGTTTTCTTTTCTTTCGTGGAATGCTGCATTGATGACCATATGCATCATTACAGCAAAGTCGGCATTGCTGAATATCCACTTCTGGTGGTCGCTTCAGTGTATTAATGGCATACATCCAGGTGATATTGAGGCAGTTCCTTCATAGAATAAGCGTCACGCGAATAATATGTTCAACTTAAATAAAAGCGACAAAACACTTTCCATGTTCACGAGAAATCTCTGCCAAGAGCAGAGTCGATTGTACGGTTCCTACCCCATCATGAGCATGTGTCTATGAATCAGTATTTAATAGTTTTGGAACGTTCCGAATGTTTTGTCTATTAAAGGGACTGTTTTCACGTAGCGTCGTGCGCCGACTCGTGCCTTCCCACGCGGTGACTCGTAGAGGAACAAAGATGGCGTCGGAGACAGAAGCAACGCTGTTTACGTGAAGCCAATGCCACATTTTGTTTGATAGCATGCAACCCATCAAGATATATCTACACAAACTATTGATTGAAATGTGGAATATTTTCTTCATATTGGGATGTATTTTGACGTGTGTGTGAATTCATAGTTCTACTAATGGTGCTGTATGTGGTAGTGTATAAAGCATTGTATTTTGGAAAAGGTTTGCCACAATCGTCATTTAAATGTTGAAAGGAACGTAGTCACACAATGGAGAAACAACACCCCTTCCCACAAGTATACACGTCGGGCATCATGTGTGTCGGGGTACAGGTGGGTTGGGGTGCGGTGAATTCGTAGACACCTTCAATCCTCCATTTTATGTGAAACGTTTGCGTAAAATAAGGCGCTTATATGGCGAAACGTTATTCAATAACGTTACAGCAAAACAGGACGTTCATTAAGCGAATCAAACGCTTTTCAGAAACGGTACAAAAAGTTTTACTCTATTTGAAGCAAAATGTTAGAGTATCCTACCTCACCAATGGCGCCCGTCACAAACAAGATAATTGGGCAAGATAATTGTTCACTTGAATCGGGAACATTTGTTACAAGTCGAAATAGAGAATTGTATCGAAAACCATTTTTGTTCCTGATGTGTAACTTGTGAACTGGATATCATTATCTTTTTTATGACAGGCATTGGACAGAGCATGATCAACGTCTCTGGTCTTTCGGCCGTTCTGGAGTATTTCAAACGAAAACGGGTTATTGCTCTGATACTGTTGAGTATTGGAAATTTGCTAATGACTCTCTTGGCTGTGCTCCTAATGGTACTTGTCTTCCCATCTGTGGGTATGGACAACAGCAGATCGTATTTCATCATGCAGTTTGTAATCACTGGCCTCCTCGTCCCAATCAGCTTGATGCTGAAGCCACTGAACCTAAGGATGAAAGGCTCTGCCGGTAGAAGTCTCATCTCAAGACAGATGGGAATTAAATGTTTTGTGGTCTACAAGAATCCAGCTCTTTATACAGTCACTCTAGCATTTTTCTTCTGGGAAGCAGGTAACATATAACCTGTGTAGATGCATGAGGAGAAAATATGTAGAATTTGATACGGGAAATAGAGAATGAGCTTTGACTGTTCATGGGATGAAACATGACTCCTCTAGAGAACAAGAGGACCCTTACACATGCTACACCAAGCCCTATTAAAAATCACATATTCATATTCTTATTAGCATCAGAAATATGCAGTCGCTGGTAAGCGTGAATGTAGGTTGGGGTTATCCCCGCTTTGCACAGTATTCCAATAATATCTTGCTGTAGGTGAAGATATGAGATCAATACAAACCATAATAATGTCATTATGATACTGACAGATTTAGACACTGAGGCAACCAGCAAATGCAAATTAAACCACTGGGCTATCCGACCCGTGAAGATCCGGGATAGAATAGGTCTTCAGTAACCCATGCTTGCCGTAAAAGGCGACTATGCTTGTCGTAAAAGGCGACTAACGGGATCGGGTGGTCACACTCGCTGACTTGGTTGATACATGTCATCGATCTCAATTGCGTGAATCGATGCTCATGATGTCAGTCTCTGGATATTGTGGTTTTAGACTCGTTTATTTTGCAGACCGCCGTCATAAAGCTGGAACATTGCTTAGTGCGGCGTTAAACAACAAACAAACAAACTCTGGGCTATCCTCGTCCTACGTAATAAAAGACGAATAGCATATATTATTTGAGTTCATAAATTTGAAAACGTCATTTGATTACATACATGTGTATGTTTTATAATTTCTTGTCGAATGTTTTTATATATGGTTTCAAGGTTTCGCCATCATCAACAAGAAGCTGCCTGGCTTTAAAGGGTTGATATCCATCCCTAATATGCCCGATGGAATGCTGCTGACCCTAATTCTAAGCGTCGCATTGATGTTGGGCATTGGGATCGCATGCTTCTTCATCAAGACCACCCGGCTCAGGACGACCATCATCATATTCTGTGTAAACTGCGTCATCATCTGTTTCTTCAGTGTCCTGGCTAGTCAGTTGTACAAGGAGATCTACGCTACTGTGTATTCCGCAGTGGTCGGTCTGTTCAAGGGTGAGAATATATGCAAGTATATACATGTATCTACCCACGCGTAGTGTTCAGTGGTAGGAGTGGGGTGGTATCTTGTGATATTGTAGAGGTCTAGGAACTTAGTTGTACAAGGAGATCTACGCTACTGTGTATTCCGCAGTGGTCGGTCTGTTCAAGGGTGAGAATATATACAAGTATATACATGTATCTACCCACGCGTAGTGTTCAATGGTAGGAGTGGGGTGGTATCTTGTGATATTGTAGAGGTCTTAGAACTTAGTTGTACAAGGAGATCTACGCTACTGTGTATTCCGCAGTGGTCGGTCTGTTCAAGGGTGAGAATATATACAAGTATATACATGTATCTACCCACGCGTAGTGTTCAATGGTAGGAGTGGGGTGGTATCTTGTGATATTGTAGAGGTCTTGGAACTTAGTTGTACAAGGAGATCTACGCTACTGTGTATTCCGCAGTGGTCGGTCTGTTCAAGGGTGAGAATATATGCAAGTATATACATGTATCTACCCACGCGTATTGGTCAGTGGTAGGAGTGGGGTGGTATCTTGTGATATTGTAGAGGTCTTGGAACTTAAGGTGAGGTGAGGTGAAATGGGGTTTAACGTCGCGTCCAAGATTATTGCACTTATATAGCGACGTGCATGCATGTGTATGTGTGTGTGTGTGGCTGCTTGTACTAGTCCGTGCTGATGCCGATTTATAGTGCTAGCACACTAAGATACCATGCCGCAGTTTAACATAATATACTGTCTCCGAGCCGAGCAGTCCTTGTTTTAGCTCCTTAATCCCTTAATGCCGAGCGCGAGACAGGGTAACAACAAGTACCATCTTTTAACTTCTTTTGGTATGACGCGGCTGGGGATCGAACCCCGGACCTTCCGCTCTCCGGGCGGACGCTCTACCATTAGACCACGGTGGCGGTCGTCTTGGAACTAAGTCGAGCGTAACTAATCTTCAATCCATGAGAATATGACATGCCATTCATGCTGCCATTCTGTAACGACGCTGGAAAAAGATTGAAATATTGTTAAACTGCCCAAATAATAATACTTATATGCATAATTAAAAAACAATAAACATTTATTCCACGTCCCTCCTCATTGCACGAGTCATGGGTTAATGACCCTCGACTCCCATAGCAGTGATATACTCAGATCATATATCCAAGTTGCATTTTACAGTCGAGAACTGCAAAATCTCTTCTCTTTTCAAGGGTTTACAGATCCGGTGATGCTGTTCACCGTCCCCGTGTTTGTTGGGGAAACCAACGTGGCCATCGGCATTGGCATGGTAACAGTGGGACAGGGCCTTGGATCATTCATCCTGCCTTACCTTGCAGGTTGGTGTAAGCAAAAAAGGCCACTGAACATTTGTGTTTACTGTAAAATACGCTTAAATATTTACCTTTATTTAACGTCATCCAGTGCAAATAGAACCACGTCCCTCCATGTACAGAGGGTTAGCCTTGTGATTAAAGCGTTGGCTCGTCACGCCGAGGACCCGGGTTTGATTCTCGACATGTGTTCAATGAGGCCTATTTTTTGTTCTTGGTATCATTTGAGAATTGCTTGAAGCTGATTTCACACCTGACTCACTTTGTTTTCAGATAATAAACCGCCTAGGACGTTGACAATATAACATGATCTCGTTCAGTAGTCAGGAATTTGTTATCACTACCCTCTTCCCACTTCATATTGGTTTGTTAGATCAGTATGAATTATAAAACCCTGAGGTAACCTCGCATACATACTACCAGTACATGTATGTCATCGACGTCTTTGGTGTGATTATTGTGATATCTCTGCCTTGGTGAAATACCTTCTATTACGAATTCTGACCCCCTCACATCATGTGCAAAACAAACGGATTTCAAATTAATATATTGACATTCATCAATCAATGGCGTGTCAGTTTAATGTAGGAGGAAAGCACAAAGGGATGCAGATCTTAGACGTTTACCACTTCGGTGAAACCCACGAGCACGTGTATGGTACTGGCAAACCTAGAAACATAATCGGGGCGAACGGGTATTCGAACCCACGATCATAGGTTTCTGGCGTGCCCAAGGGACGCAACTATGCACAGCGAATTGCGGTGCCTGAGACGACTGGGCCACCTGTGCTCCTCTTTATATTTATGTGGCATTTATGAATCTTTGGTAACAAGAAGTCAGAAATACTTGACATCAATTTATGGTATTCTTTGAAAGCGGCGTTTCGGAACAGCGGCGTTTCGGAACAGATGCTGGTGCTTTTACCAAACAAATAATCAATATCTGAGTTGGACATGGTTATGTAGCTAAAAATCAAATACACGGAAATTAGAAAAAAACACAAACTAAAAAGGGTGACAAAATGGTGATAGAGGAGGCTTGTAACAGCAAGGAGGCTGATGTACTCTCTAGTATAACCCCATGAGGATTCTGTGACAGAACATGGCCATGAACATACTGCTTGTCGTAAGAGGCGAGTCAAGATGATGGGGGCGTCGTTTTCGTGTCATTATGCCCTGAGGAGACAATTGCTCATGCTGTCAGACACTCGTTGATTTGACACATACATGATTATATGCAGGCCCTCGTCAGAACTCTGGTATAATCCAAACTGAATTGATAACAAGAATCACTTACTCATTCATTACTCCGACACGGGCGATCCGCTCCCCTCCCACGTCTCCACCCTTCCTCCCAAATACTGTAAGCCTGATGTTCAAAAACAAAGCAGCCCTTGCCCTGAAATCGTTTATTGCAGTAAGGTCCAACTTACAAAATGCCATTATGACAGTCGTCCACTTCTGTATATGCTTACATCTCACGGTAAATTGTATACCATTATTTTTTATCAGATGAGATCGACAGAAGAACAAAGAAACTCGACCTGTGTTTCTATCTGGTGGGCGGTTTGTATCTGTTGGCTTCTGCAGCTATGCTTCTGACCTACGTCTTACACAAACGGGCAAAGGTTGAAGATTCAACTGCAAGGAAATCTGATGAAAAGGTCGAGGACCATCAACAACCAACCAGCTCTCCAACCGAAATCAAAGATGGAGACACATCCTCTCATGAAAAGGGTAATGAACCGTCCCCTTCAAATAATCATGCAGAGGACGCGAATTTACAAATATTTACCGTATACAATTCGGACATTGAACAAGAGAGATAAAGAGGTCATATGCCACGGAAAAGAACCAACGTTTGCTTGAGCTAAAGCATGTTTGCTTCACTAGTGTTTAACATAATTTTTGTGTGTCAAATTGTGTTACTGTGGTTTGACTAGGGAATGTCACAAAACAATACCAATTCCATCAGACTGTGAAAAAAACATGTTTCCCAGGTGAGTCACAAGTACAGTCAAGTCTAACGGATCATTACACAGAGGAGTTAAATGCACTGTGTAAACATGATCACGAGCTTGTGTGGAACTTATACCGGGCCCGCTTGCACAAAGCGATCTTAGTGCTACGACTATTGTAAGCCTATGTAAAAATATTGGAGTTACGATCATCTTAGCGCTAAGATCGCCTTGTGCAAGTGGGTCCTGGAGTCATGTTGAATCTTTATGTAATGATAATGATCATACACCATAGGTATATAAAAATTAAAACACAAATACAATGACGTGTTTCCTTGCATGGTTGGAGCTTCCTTGTAATTGTATAGCTTATAGTTGTTGTATCAGTTATACTGGTAACATTTGACCTTGATATTGAATTAGTTTGGGCTGTTTTTTGTGTGTTGATATATGTTGTGAGTACTAACCTTTCGTGTATACCCATAGGTATCATAATAAGTCGCGTTTCATTTCACCAATTCTAATGTTGACATGTCAGCAACATTTCATTATAGAATATGTCTAGATATTCTAGTTCCAATCTTTGTTACTTATGTATCACTTCACATTTATCAAAGGATCCGCTGATATTAAATTTGGACTGTTTAGGTAACTTCATTGAATATAACTATAAAATTAAATAGAAGATTATCAGTTACAGTATATAGTAAGGCCATTCAAAATGAATGTTAAGATTTTCATCCCAACCCGTCTCACAACCGACAGCTACAGACGAACAAAACATATATACGTGTACCCTTCTTACTGAACTGGATGAAACAGACTATACTGCAGTCCGTTCAAACATTCATAATTCGTATGAATGGCACCCGTCGATAGAATTTTTCACAGATGCCTTCAAATAAATCATATAAAATGGCTCAAACATACAGGACAAATTTGGTTGAAAATCTAATAATTTATTATGGTCTAATCATTTGGATTTGTCTACCAAATAATGAGTTCAAGACAGAACTTGTCTTAGTGGGAGCATGAATCACAAACGAACAATGGATTGAATCAAACACACCTCATTCTGATTGTTGACATATTTATTGTAAACATTGACTAGATACAATGCTTAAACATTCAGGTATTATTACAGATATCAATAATCCATTGATTAACTTAGGTAAACATATAATACAATACCAGTGTGTATAAGTGAGTTAAAACATTGTTAAAACCCCACAGACCATCCCATGTAATGTCGAGATTTAGGTACTTTTACACAAGCTGAGTGAGTTGGGTTTAACGCCGCTTTTAACAGTATTCCAGTTATATTGCGGCGTGTCAGCTTAATGTGGGAGGAAAGCCCGAAGTGATGAAACCCATGGGTATTGTGCTGACAAACCTAGAAACATAATTTGGGCGAACCGGGATTCGAACCCACAATCATAGGTTTCTGGCGTGCACAAGGGACGCAACTCTGCACAGCGAATCGCGGCGCCTTCGACGACTGGGCCACCCGTGCCCCCCTACACAAGTTGAATCCCAGTAAGGTCACACCGCCTTACCTGTGATTTCGAGATAAAGGAAATTGGGGTCACGAGGTTGCACTGTAAACGCAATCGTTTGACCTCGTTTAGTCGAACGGGTCTACATATCGAATTATGTATTTCCTTGTTTAATGTGTGGCAGGACTGATATTTCTGATAATACGTTTATATGTATATGTATCGGCATCTGTCAAACCAATATGACTTGGAATTCTTTTCTGTATTGCTTATAGTACATGTGATATGTTATTAAAGACTTTTTATCCAAATACTTTCTTCTATTCAGTCTAATTTCGACACCCGCATGTTTGGGAACTCTGATAAGTCGATATTTTTTAATTTTAACTTTCATACGCCCATCCATCCATCCATCCATCCATCCATCCATCCCTTCGTCTACAGAAAATAATGTTTCAGTCATCCAAATGTCACTTGTTAAAGATGTGTAAAATATATTTTTTAAACGTGCCATTATAAAGATTATCTATTAGAATCCCCGTGCAAACTGTTTATTCGTGTGGAAATAATGTTTAAAACCGGCCAACTAGAATAAGAATAATAATCGCATCAGTAAAACTTTGTTTGGTTCCCCCTGGTCATCAGGCACATACGCAAATTTAAACGTTTAACTAGAAAGTACTTGTATGTGAGTTTATGTGTTGTTACAATGATTCTTGTATGCTTTTTGAGGAATAAATTATTGAACTTGTTTTGAAACAAGTTCTATGCACATCACCGGGCTGTGTTGTAATTTTAATTCGAGTCTGTGTATTATTATGAATCGGAGCACCGGAATTGAAAACATCATCCATTCTCTTATAATTATAAGTAGATGAATAGATATTTTTGCATCCTGCCCTTGGGTTGCAATCAACTTGAGTCGACATTTCTGTCTTCCACAATAATGTAATCATGATAATCACCCTAGCTTCGCTTCTTACTGACCCTATATAAGTAACTTAGGGCTTAGACGATTCACCAGTTCAGTAATAACACATTCAGCCATACACACATAACACTCTTTGGTATGTGTCGACACGCATCTTTCACAAGTTTTTGATCTGATCTTCATAGCATCACATCAGATTGATATGTATAGGTGTGATACCTACCTACATTTGGTGTAATCATCTCATCTAGATGTGTTGAAAAGAATAAACATACTCAGTTGACATAAAAAGTTTTTTATGAAGACTAATCAGGTTTATTTTTCTAGTTATGCCCAAATCAGAATACACTCTTCAAAAAAAGAAACGCACAGTTAGTATGTTGTTCATTGAACCTGACTACACAAAAAATCCGGTATATAAATTGGATATATGTTATTGGAAAATGTTGGTGGCCTGATAATCGACGAATGGTGCGTCAAAACGCAGCCATTGACGATTTGCAATATCTTTAACGGCATTGTTTTCACACTTGTTCAAAAATGTCATGGCGGAAAACAGTAAAGCAAAATGCATGTACAGGTTAAGGCATTTGTGACTTGTGGTGGTGGCTATAAAAAGGCAAGCATAAGACAATACTTTGTCATTCAACTGTCAACATTTTTCAAGTTCGAAAATGCCGTGACTCAGCGCTTCCGATCGGAACATCGCCAAAGGAAGCATCCAAAGGGGGGAATCGCAGTCTTCTGTTGCTTGCCACTTCAGCGTCCACCACAGCACCATGTGCCGCCTTTGTTACCGATACACACAGTTCAATTCTACTACAGACCGTCCGAGAACGGGCCGACCAAGAGTTATCATCCCTGCACAGGATCACTACATTCGACTGATCCACCTACATGTGTACGTCATCGCAATGCCACAGCTACGGAGACTGCAGGATGCATCCCTGGTTTGAGGAGGATATCGGACCAGACTGTAAGGAACCATCTTAGCGAGGCTGGAATCGTACCCAGAAGACTAGTTATAGTCCCTGTTTTGCAACAGATCCATCGACAGCGACGCTTGCGTTGGTGCCATACCTTACAGCCTTGGAATTTGAGAAACTGGAGACGATTGTGGCTTAGCGATGAATCACGATTTCTTCTTCACCGGCGAGATGGAAGACAACGTGTTTATCGTCGTCGAAATGAGCGTTTTGTCCAACATTGTGTTCGTGAATTTGACAAATTCGGTGGCAGTAGTGTCGTGGTGTGGTGTGTACACCACGAGATCTGACTTGGTTGTTGTTCAGGGAAAGTTGACAGCAAATCACCACTTGAATCAAATTCTTCAACCTCACCTTCTTCCAATCATTGACCGCTAGAGGAAGCTGTTTCACAGGACAACGCTCCACCGCACACAGCTGGTGTCACGGTAGACTACCTTCATAATACCAACATCAACGACTTGCCCTGGCCGTCGAGATCTCCAGATCTCAACACGTCTGGGATGAACTCGATCGACGTGTACGTCAACGTCAGAACACGCCGCAGACACTTCCACAACTGGCCAACGCGTTACAAGCAGAATGGCGCGGAATTCCGCAGGACAGAATTTTCGTAGGTTTTGGGGATGCATTTTTACCTTATAACAGTACGCACACAGGGAATTGGGCAATGTTTTCCTTGTCGGGAAATGGATCCATGATATTGCTTGGTGAAATGCCCACGTGATGGCGATCGATACCGCTTAACTTACGAATGGACCCGCGAAGATCCGGGGTAGAATAGGTCTTCAGCAACCAAGCTTGCCGTGAAAGGCGACTAACGGTATCGGGTGGTCAGACTCGCTGACTTGGTTGATGCATGTCATCGTATCCCAATTGCGTAGATCGATGCCCATTATGTTAATCACTGGATTGTTTTGTCCAGACTCGATTATTTACAGACCGCCGTCATATAGCTGGAATACTGCTGAGTGCGGCGTTAAACGAGAAATAAACAAACAAACAATAACCTACGAATGTCGCAATATAGAATCCAAGGTGGGGTTGGGGTTGGTTGGGATGTTTTTGAAACAATTATCAATCCCTTGTGGGGCGGTCGGGTAGCCAAGTGGTTTAAGCGTTCGCTCGTCACGCCGAAGACCCGGGTTCGATGCCCGACATGAGTACAATGTATGAAGCCCATTTCTGGTGTCCCCCGCCTTGATTTTGCTGGAATATTGCTAAAAGCGGCGTAAAACCATACTCACTCACTCACTCAATTCCCTGTTATATTGAGAAAAATACATATGTCTCGAGTTGTGGGGAAAATATAATGTTCCCTTTTCTTGCTGACGGTGCGTGTTTAAATATTGAAAATTTAATTCACATAGTCTTGGATTAAACTGTAATCTGAACAAGGCTGGCATCTTAAAACTAGATGTTTCAGACAAAGGGGTCTCGTCAGTCTTAGCTGGTGGCTCTTCTTGGGGAAGGAAAACACTCATTCCAGACCACCGAAATCTGTTGCATGGACAAGAGCTGGCCCTCCCCTTCAAGCTGCCCAAGCCTGTGTCCAGGAGACACATCGCATCACATCGTTCTTTTAATGAAAGTGCTTTACACTACCTATACTTGCCCAAATTATGCTGAGATTAAATCTGAAAGCTATTGTCATGTTAATGGATATGACCTCGAACCGTCCTGTTTGGTACCGTCAGCCTAGACAATGAAATGCTGCTGAATATCGTTGACTCTGTACATCATTTCTTCTCTATGAGCAAAACATTTGTCTAAACATGTACTCTTTTATAAATCTCACTAACTGTTTATCTACGAAAGCTCAGGACAATGCTTGTACATACATAACAAGATTCGTAATCAATGGATTCACTGATCTGCATTGATGGCTGAAAGGTTGGTTTAACTTTTCATTTCGGAACCGCGTCAATTAGCGAGTTATCCCATGATGTGCGGTAATGTCAGTGCTTGCTATTTATCATCAATTACTGTTGTGATAAATGTAATTGAGAGGACCCACCGTCGAGAGTGGGCGCCGGTGTATACGCTGTGACATATTTCTCTGATGGGGTATTAAATGATACTTTATCTGCTCTCACTAATGCTGTTATTGATTAGCAGGTGTTCACATTAGGCCACCAATTGTGATTCCGGCGAAGATTAGATCCTTCCCCCAAATTAAGCCAGAGTCGACGAAAGTGGATTGGTGGGCCAGGCTCTGTGACTTGCTTGATGGCATGCCAATGTGTCTCGATGAAGTGGATCGTTCCCTATTTCTGTAATCTCGTGTGACTAGCCGAGACCCGGTTATGTACAGGCCGCGCTGTGGCGTAAAACAGCATTCATTCACACGTCCGTAAACTCGAAGTTTGTTGAATCGTATACACTGTAATGAGTGATGTCGGTGTCGGCAGGCAACAAACATTACTTTTTTAATGCAAATTGTGTGAGTAATGTGAACAGTGGCGGGTGCTACGAGCAGGGCAGGATAGTCATAATGCTTAGTACCTTTTCGCGAACAACTGCTGTCATCACTGATTTTCAATGATCCATTCAAATCTTCACAACTATTTTGACTTTTACGCCCGATGTATATTTTTTATTCCTGCGTTGACGATCTCCTGATGGTAAAAGGAAACGGGACTCCGGACGAATTATCTAGAACGTAACGACGTTTTTAAGAACGAATTAACTGGCTTAACATATTAGACACTGTTTATACGGTGATCATTGTCCAATAATACTATATATGGTTCATCCTGAGGTGATTACATGACTTAGTACGTGGAAGACGTGAGTGAGCTCTTCTGAAGAATCCTATGAATTCTCAAGAAAAGAATCGATCATCATAAGGATTATGAGCAGACCTCTTTTACAGAACACTGGTTTAACCAACTTAGTGTCCAGGGAAAAGCTTAAGTACACAACGGAAGTATATCT